CGACGCCCGTTTTCTCGGTGCAGTGACAGATGCCGACATGGGAGCACTTCAACGAGACGACCCGGAACTTCTTGCTGCGGACATAACTATCGTTCATCCTTGTTTTTGTTGTTCTAGAAAGTGCTTGTTCATTCTCGCCCCGAGCGCGCTACGCTCGAACCTTCTCCGCCGAATCTTCGAGATAGTGACTCACTCTAGATAAGAGGCCGCCCGCGACCTTGTCGAGTCAGTTTCGCCCCAGCGCTCGACTCTGCTGTCTCGCCGACCTCGACGCTCGCGACGCTTTGTTATTATCTTCTATTCTCTTTTTGTTTTGGCACAAGTTCGCCACATTAAACGTTTAGTTCTTCCTGTTTATTTATTGTTATTCTGGTCACCACCCGTGACAATATCCAGGATTTTGTTTTCAAGATTTGCGATCATCCCGGTGACAGAAAAACAAACAAAAAAACACTAACACGCCAATTTTTTTTTTTTTGCTTTTTGTTAGGCGATTTATTATGCTGTCAGGGCACTACTCAATCAATATTTTGCTGCAGAGTCACGTATCTTTTTAATAAAGGAAGAAAACTTACTGCTCCGACACCGAAACTGAACCATGACCATGGAGTTTCATGGCCGACTACACGTACCAAGGAGGAGGGGGTCGCCGGAAGTCATGTGGCTACCGCTGCACAGTCGCTGCCCAGTTTCTTATATGTTCCCCCGCTTCTCTGGCGTGTGTAGCAGACGACAACGAAGTTGCGTGCGCCGTTTGTCGTGCGACTGGTTTGAACTTATTTCCCTTCCGCTCGCTATTCTGCGCTCGAAGGTTGATTGTCCGGTAGCGAAAAACAGTTCCGAAGTATCGGTCCAACGTCCGTCCTAATGTAGGTGTGTAGTGCGCCCCCGTCGCGTCGTCCAGCCTGCGGTACGTCGCCATATTAAGAATGACCTAACACATGTACCGTAAGCTGTGAAAAAAAAAATTGTTTTTTTTTCTCTCATCGTATTTGAAGCTTCTTGGAAGCCACAAAAAAAGGGGGAAAAAAAGGGGGTTTATATTCTTTTCCATTTTTAATAGTGAATGTGTGCCTTAGATGACCCACGACTTTGAATATATTTGGTACGCTGTAGTTGGAACGACATGCTACCATGGAAAAGGGAGTGAGCGCTCCTGAAACCGGTCAATTGTTGACCGGCTCTTTTCGGGCGGAAAGAAAACGAATTTCGAATCGCTAGTTGTGTTCTGGGTAGTAGGGTCCCAAAAAAAACCTCGGCGAGGATAACTGCCCGGTCGGTGCCCCTGGAAATGCGGCTCATACCGTGGACACGAGCTCTGCATCAGCATTCCATTTCGGCTCTTGACAATCAATAGAGAGTTTTAGAATAGCGCACGCTAAAGCTTTGCGTACGCAAAGAATAGCGTCGTCACCACTGCGCATGTGCCGAACGCTGACCACGTTTTGCGCTTTGCGTGCGCTATTTTAGCGTACGATATTTTTCGGAAATTGCGGGCGTACGCAAAGCGTCTTTGCGCTTCTCCAAGGAGGATTTGTAATGAGAAGTTGGCTAAAGCCAAGACGAGGACCATTAAAAATGGCGGCTCCCCGGACCATGGCTGCGGCCGCTTCGGCGGCGCCCTGAGCGCAACGTCGGCGACATCCTTACGACTGCGATGTTCAATACGGGACGACATTGGACTCGGTTCGGAAAACCCAGTAAGATGGCCAACGACCCCCGGCAACTTGATGCTTGCGACGCGCAAACATTTCTCGGCGAAGGTACGATGTGCGGAGGTCAGTACACGAGAAATCTCTTGCCGAGGCGACGCAAGCGGACACGACCGCGGTCGACCGGTCGCGCCGCATTCTCATGTTTAAACAAAACTAAAGTGTTACTCTGAACCAAAAAAACTTTTTTTTTTTCTCAAGTTACAGCATTCGTGCGTTAAATAAAAATTTGGACTGTATCTTGGTGGCGTTGGAAGCGCTAGAGAGGCTTGGGCTTTTGCGTCGTGGCGGAGAAACCCTATTCTAAACCTCTCTCGCGTAGCGCGCGCTAACGCAAGCGCTAAATTTAGCGCCAGCGTGCGCTAAAATTGCGTACGTTATTCTAGAACTCCCTAATGACTCATCATGCATTCGTGTAGCGGCTCGTGCCCATTGATAACGGGAATAGCTGAATCGTAACTATATGTGGAACTCAGCGCGTGCTCTGTGCTTTTCCCGCCGCAGCACGTGGCTAGGACAAACATAGGCTATATGAATGCGATCATAGCGCATCGAATCGAGCAGGGACTACCGCACGGCAGCCTGTCTTCCTACGTCTTTCTCTTCTACTCATTTGCTACCATTCAAAACAGTCAAATGTCGATTCGATGCGCTACGGTCGCATCCATGCAAACGCAGCCATTGGCGGCATATAATCTGATCCAGGTCACGTGGCCGCCTGTTCTGGCTGCACGTTGAGTCAAGAATGCTGCTTGTTTTTTTTCTTTTAATTTTTGTTTGCGACTATTATTGCCTAGAGAGAGAGAGAGAGAAAAAAAAAAGAACCAGCGCTTGTTCCATACTTTAGGAATGTCAAGGAATAATTCTAAGCGGCAGTTGCCGAAACTACAAACAATTGTTGCATTGCCCCTTTAAAGGAGCGATGCAACAATTTTTGTGCTTTGCGCAAATACCGCTTAAAACGGATCCATAACGTTAGTGACCTATGAAACACGCGTTCGCTTTTCACCCCACGCAATAGAAGACCCAGAAAAAAATTGAAAAAACAACAAGCACCGTTCACCCCCTCAACTCGCAGCCAGAACAAGCGGCCACGTGATCTGGAGCCGATTATATGCCGCCAGTGTTGATCATAGCCACGCGCTGGGGTTGGCAAAGCGCAGGACACGCGCTGAGTTCCAGACATTGTTATGGCTCGGCTGTTGTCGTCGTTGCAGCGATTGGACACGGGTCATTACCCGAATGCTTCTCGAGCTGGCAATTATCACGAGCCCAAGTCGAGTGCCCACGCAATGCTCGGGTCCAATCTATGAGCCGCATTCAAATATCGTCACTTGGGTGTACTGCGATCCCCACGTTACGTCATCAAATTTTGCAAAGGAGAGATTGAATGAAAATGATCGCTTTTGTCCTTGAAATTACACCGCAACAAAGGAGTTTCTTGGCCAGTGGCGTTGCGTGTGAGTATCCTTCAGTCCCAGGTGTGCCAGTAAGCTCGTGTCAAGTGAAAAACATTCCAATTGAATATCGTTGCACTGCTCCTTTAAAAGAATAGACACTTGGCCAAGCTACCCATACACCAAGGAGAATTCTGAGAACACGCACTCCACGCGCTCGACTTATCAGCATGCAAGACTCGAAGTATTCAAAATAAAGCGTTAACAAACGCACGTCAAAAGTGCCATTTGCTTTCGGTTTTTGCTTTAGAAGAGTTACCCCTGCAGACGTTAGTACGTGCAGTGCGTGTAACTGCACTCGCAGCATGGTCCAAGGTGTTCGGGTGATTTCCGAGAGGCTTATTGAAATGCTTAAAAGAGCAAAGCAACCATTTTTTGCACTGTCAGTAAATAACGCTTAGACTAACTCTTTGACATTCGTATCCTATAAAACATGCGTGAGCTTTTTTTTTCTCTCCACGGAATGGCAGTCACAGAAAAGAATCGAGAAAAACGAGCAGCGTTCACCGCCTCAAACCGCAGCAAGAACAAGCCGTCACGTGATTTGCAGCCGACTATATGTATGCCGCAAATGTTTATCGTAGCCCCGTGCTAGGGTTGAGAAAACACGGGGTACAGGCTGAGTTACACATAGGCTGTGTTCCAAATCTTACCCAAATGGATCCGAGTTACTCTGGCGGATCGTATCACGTGACAGCACAGATTGAAAAACGCTGAACGCGGGTAGGTTTTAAAACGCCTAGGGTACAAAACCCTTCCCCTGGAGTAAGATCGAGTAAATTTTGGAACACGGCCATAATGTTAGTTGCACACACTACCTAATAGACCGATCTTACTAAGCGTTCGGCGCATTTGTGAAGCCACCATAACTTTAGTTCACAGGAGGCAGGCGGCAGTGCCCGAAACATCTCGTGCCATGCGCGCGCAGGCCTCCAGCGAGGTTGTGGCACGTGCAGAAAGACTAAAGTTCCCTCGATGCATTGCGGCAGCGGTGGCGTAGCTAAACTGACTGGTGAGATCGGTCTATTGCATGTGGATGCCTTGATTGTCACGAGCCCAAATCGAATGCTCCAGCAGTGCTTATGCCCGCTGTATGAGCCGCATTTAAATATCGTCACCGTGGAGATCGCAAGCTTGATGACGAAATCCCGCGGATCGCATTGTTTACAACACCAGCAATGCGATCCCCAGAACTTCGTCATCTAGTTCTGCGAAAGAGATACTGAAAGGAAGCGTCCGCTTATATACTTGAAATTACGAGGCAGCAAAGAAGCTTCAGGGTCAGTAGCATTGCCTGTGAGTATACTTGTTTCATAGTAGCACCAGTAAATTTATGTAAAGTGGAAGCATTCCTACCCAAATTTGTTGCATGGCCCTTTTAAATACCTTTGCAGCACTTTGCAGCAAAGCGTCTCTCGGCACGCTCAGTGCCATATTTGTGCACTGGGAAAGCGCACTTGGCCAAGAAAGTCGTGAGCGAGCAGTCGACGGGTTGTAATTTAATCTGACGTGGGCTGTGATTTTTGCTGACCATGAAATACGTCCATTATTTTGTTTCTGTGAGCTGTCTGGCGCGTGCCGAAGACAAGAACTTCCAAGATTCATTTGACACAATCAGATATGTAGTGCATAGATGATTATTGGTTTCATCACGCTAAGATATAAGAATAAAATGGCGGACTAACGGCACAATAAAACACCATATATAGTGTAGATTTTAATTCATATCCGCCTATTTACGCATCCTCGTTGACAGCCTTTGGAGACTTACCAGGTACACAAAGAAGTGCTTGTAACGTTGCTCGTGTGTGCGTGCTTCCTTGATTCCCAGATTCACGTCGAGAAAACGCTTCCAGCTTTGACGGAGACTTCGTTCAGTGTCAACAGAGGTCCATCCTGCCCGTCCACGTTGCAAGAAGCCACTGTCAAGTTCACCTTTGAGGAGAAGAAAGCGTTCGCTGTGGTATTTTCTTTGGATGTCAGTGACCCAACGAAGATCGTCGCTTCCCAGGTAAGAAACAGAAGTTTGAGGACTAACGTCTTAAGAAACACATGGCGTGGCTTATTAACAGAGAACGGGTTTGGAGACTTTCAAGCTCGAGCGCCACTAAAAAGCATTGCACGCAGACCCACCTGTGAAACTCAGTCCATAGCAGGCAATGCATAAGCATCCAAATAAAAGCCATGCTCCGCTATAATTAAATATAAGTAATTATTTGTTATAATTATGTACTTTTAATTGCGTACTTTTAACTGAGCATGGCTTCCATTTGCGAGATTTATCAATCGACTCGGTGGGAATCGAACCCCGGACCGTGCGATCCGCAGCCCGATGCTTTTGGTACGCGCCAAAATGAGGATATGAAAGGGAGCGCAAGCAGCGCGACTAAGTATGATTCAGGGGATCTACGTCGGCGCGCACAAGTGACTTCCGAATGATGAAGCGTAACTCCCCATGTGATCACACGACCTCACGAGGCGGATCATAACGCACAAACCAACGTTACAAAAACAATTCTGTTTGGGAAACTGCCATAGATCCTAACTTTGAAAAAGTTTCTCCGATCCGTACTCGACAACCGAACTATGGTGCCTGGAACGCGTCTCCGACTGGTGTGTTTACCACATCCAAAAAAGTAGACCCTCGATTTCCGCCTGATGACATCATGAAAGTGTCATGCTGTTGCCGGTCGCGCTCCTGGTGGTGTCCCAGCAACGGTGGTTTAGGTGGCAGACGCCTGTTCTGCGGCAGGTCGCTCTCCAATGTGACAGTTCACGGAAGCTTCGGCAGCCACAAGTTGGGACGCCCTGACGGCAGTCACTCACGCGTTCGCTTGTGCTTTTCGCTAGCATTTCTATGACCAACCGCCAGGATTGTGACATGCAACAGCATGACACTCTAGTTTTTGTGACGTCATTTGTCGCCACTTCGGGACCACTTTTAATGTATGGGCACCATAGGACGCTAAACACACCAGTCGGAGACGCTCTCCAGGCACCATAACCAAACAAAAGGCGGTTGCAACGCCGCCATTCCTCCTGTAGCGGCCACTCCGGGAACTGCACGGCTGCGTCGCCCAAAGGCTGGTGGCGCCATCTCGCAGTGCCATTTTGCAGTAGCAATATATAGGCTTCTTGCACTGATGTCACATCGCATACTTTTGAACACCATGTAAAAGGATCAGAGGGAAGCTACTTTTGTAAGAATTTTGAGTGACAGGTTAATCTTCTACAGTCTTCTGGGAGGAGAATAGCGACGCCTGTGCAAATCCGGGAGGCACAAAGGAGGATCCTGATAAGATGGGAGCTCCTTCTTTCCGTTTTCTCTGGAGGTCATCGGAAGTGAAGCCATGTGCAAGCCACGTATAACAGCTTTCATATTTTGACTCGTCGCTAAAGGGCGCCGGTGTTATCGTATCCAGTTTGGTCTCGGTGGATGCAAGCGGTCCGGGTTTCCAGGATGAGTTTCCGAACTGAGTGTTACAACAACGTTGTCGCAAACGAATAGCTCAGTGGGCGTATGACATCGTGACTTCACACAGCAGGTAATAGGCGTTTTCTGTTTCCTGTCGTTCTCAGTCACGTGAGCTCTGTCTCTCGTATGCGGAACGAAAAAATATTAAAACGCTTCAACCAGGCATATGCCATAAAAAATAGGTGAGGCAAAACAAGAACGTGTGATAATTACGCATTTTTCGTAAACACCTTCCAGCGGCGTGGAGAAATCAAAACGATGTTTTACCGCATTTCAGAATTTACGTCATTCAAGATGGCTGCGCCCTTGTGGAAAGGGTCTATAGACCTTTCCAGCGGCTGTCTCGAACGAGTTTACAGCGCGCGGTCCTGGTTCTGAGAGTACGTCAGTGTTGCCCGACTGCGCTGGGCTGTGGGTTTTCCCGTCAGTAGGCTGTGGCAGCCTGCGTAGGCGCAATTCCGGGTGCTGGTGGCGGCTAAATTGCCTCCTTTTACTTGTTGCTTTGTGTTCTATGGCGAAGAGAATTTCTCGATGTTTTTAAGAAAACATTGCACTATTTTTGGGAACAAAAACAAACAAATTAAAGCTATTTTTGGTGAGTCCGTGCGCGAGAGAACATATGCAACTAGAATGTTTGTTTCATTTTATGTTGATTTTTTTTACGGCACCATACACTCAGCCGTGTCAATCTACAAAGGTCTTAACTGCCGAAGATATTTGAGCACACCACAGGATAGCCGAACTGCATGGGTATTTCCCGCTCACAACATGAAATTCAACGAGTCTCATTAATCGAACAACATATAATGTACCTACCCCACGGTGCCGCGTTATCCAAACAGGATTTGAGAGAGGTATCCAATAACACAGCATATCCACTATACAGTGTTGACGATAGTCACTGCACGCCGATCGGACAGAATCCGGCTTGTCTGGAGCAAGGCATGTAGTTGGGCTAGTTGGTGGTACATAATGTTTGGAGGGAACAGCGCAAAAAGGACGTAGGACGAGGTCGAAGAAACACACAGACAAGGCCCTGACTTACAACTGAAAGTTTATTGCTCTGAAGAAAGAGAAATAAACACAGAAAGGAGGAAGGGGAGAGAGCAAACAAATCAAACCAATAACATGCGGCATCACCCACGCCCACGCTCCGTCACACGAACCTGCCACACTTTCTTAGAAAATCCACCTCGTCATTTGCAAGGGCAACCGAAGGAGCGCTCACACTCGTGTCAGCTCCGATAGCCGCGATAAAATATGCTTCGTCTATCTCCCTCGCAGTTTTGTTTTTGTGACGAGGCAAAATCTTTATGTCACGCAATGACGGCGTGCAGCCACACCTGTCACAATGAACCGCTAGGTTTCCTGAGGGCGAGGAACGCAAAGAAAGGGAATGTTCTCTTGCCCTTACGTTAACACAACGCCCCGTTTTGAGCAATATACACCCTGCCGCAGGACAGGGGGATCTGGTACACGACCCCGCTTACACAGGCGACGTACGGGGTGCGATGTTTGACGTCGCACACAACGGAAGGGCGTCCTTCTCTACTAACAGCAGCACAAAGGTGTGAAAGCTTACGCTGACTTACAACTTTCAGTTGTAAGTCAGCGCCCTGTCTGTGTGTTTCTTCGACCTCGTCCTACGTCCTTTTTGCGCTGTTCCCTCCAAACATTTTGTCTGGAGGCCCGTTTTGAAGGCAGTGCTTTTTTACACAGCACCAAAACAAATGAACGAACGTGTCTACTCCGTCCCCATACCCCGGACCCCATCAGATATTTCTCGCCAAGACCAGGAACATAGCCGAGAAGGCTTTTAGGAGATTCTCTCAACGGAAATAATCCTCGAAGAACGTAGAACGGCCCGCGTCGCGGGCTGCTTAACGTTTGCTCTCTTCATTCGTTTCCTGCATAGGCCGAGCAGGCTACGAGCCCTGGTATTTATTGGTTCTCACAGTGGCAGATAACACAAAACACCTAATCATCCTAATAAAGTAAACACTTTCAAGAAAAGCCGGCGAACTCCGAATGCACAATGCAGGTGGGTAGCCGCGCTGACCGGGTTTCCACAGCTCAGGTGGGTGGCAGAGATTTCTGGCTGAAAGGGGTCGCTCGAGTCGCAAAATGGTGGCAGCCAGAGACCTCTTTTTGGAAAGGTCTATGGATAGCGTAGCGGGCGTTATAATTCTCAAACCCCTTGATGTGCTGGTTTCTACGTTGCAAGTGGCGTGAAATCAGCGAATACATGAGACCCGCGCCTCGTGTAGCTCTTGGACGCAAATGGTATGTTAAACAACTGAAATTAACTACCCTTGGAAGCGAATGGCGTTGCAGCATTTGCTTGAGGCACGTGTTTTGGGCGTTCGCAGAACAATGCATGTCGGTGCTTAGAAGAAACGCGAAACGTGAATTTTATCAAGGGGCTTTAGGGGTAAAACCTCTAACCCTCTCGATTACTTCAGCTGTCACGAGCTGGTAGCTTAAACAGACTTTGCAATCCCAATGCACGCATTCAAGAGCAATAACATCGATCATACAGCTTTAATGGGTTTTACCTGTTTGTGTTGCACAAGCGAGTTCGTTTTTGTCATTAACACTGGACTGTACCTGCTAAAATGCTTCGGTGGTGCAGGTTCTTTTTGTAACTGCAAATAATAATTAACAAATTTATTAAGGCACTACGCGCAATCCAATCTTGTAAAGGCAGGTACCGCAAGCCCATCGTGCTAGCCCTCAGGGAACTACACGCAACCTCGGAAGAAGCAGAACTCAATGAATATTCTTATTAATGCATACTGCTCAGATACTTTACTCCCAAATAAATGATACTTGTCTTGATGCTTCTGATAAACTTGAGCGGCACATGAGTGTGTCGTTAATGCAAGAATCTGGAACCACCCAAAGCTTCTTTTAACCAAGTTTAACAAATCATAAAGCACGCGTAATATATCCAACCGGCAACGGCCAGGCGGCGCCAGCAGAGTGAGCCCACGGTTACACCCGGTCTCGTTGTACCTTGGCAAAAGGTGAACACTGTGCCCAACATTACGTTCCGACTGCTTCGATACGCGCTAGGTATGGACCTTTGCAAGAATCGCCTTCTACGCGGTATATCAGACGCTGCGCATGCGTCCACAGCTCAGTGACTCGGCATTTTTCATCTGGGTGATAAGCGATTCAAAAGTCTATATATTCTGTTCCCCCGGGATTACCAGAATGCTCAAGAAAAGTTTTATCTTCTCTGAAGTAAGGCTCTGAATGACACTGAAAATTTGGGCATGAGGACTTGTTGTCAATGCTTCAGTTAAAAGAGACGAAAGCATGTACAGTCACGATCAGAAGTAACTAAGAACACGGGAGCGGTGGCCCGACTGCATTGCAGCGCAATCTAGCCGCGCTCGTGGGAACTGATAAGAGAGTACGCGCATGCGTGCATGCCGCCGCCGATGGCCCCTCTGCTCACCTCGACCTATTCCTTTACCGGAGGTTCTAATCGTTCCTTATCGCTTCTGGGACGCAACGCTACGTCCCCGATG